CTGAATTTGAAATCATTGTCGATTATTTCGAGATTGAGTCACTTCATACCCATTTCTGATTCGTTACGACAATTCGCGCTGTCCTCAACTTCGGTTATTCTTTCTATTCCACTCACAATATTTTCTTAATTTTTCGCAACTTTAAGCAATTCAAGAGATGACTTTCAACCTTTCGGAGCCTGAAGAATTTCAGCCCACGCTTCTTATTTTATTGGTAAGTTCAGCTGCACTTCAACTTTCCCATCAGGATGAAGAAATGAGGTAAACGGATGGCTGATGATAGTTATCATTACTTACCTTGCATTTGCGATGATATATTTTAATTTTAATTTCTTCCATAGTTCCTTTTCTTACCTTTCCTTATGTCGATGTAAGCAATAGTAATCCTTCTGAATCAGTTTCCAATCTTCCTGTCTGTCAGATTCACTTCCTTTTCTCTTCTTTCTGAATCAATTCCAGAAAAACGTAATCTTTCCGATCGGCCATCATCAAATCAATTCGACTTTTCTTCTTTCATTTTAAAGTGCATCTTCACGGATAAACGGATATGATTCTCACAAATCCACATCAATTCTCAATTGGTGAAGTTTTTAGGGAAGAATTTCAGTGCGTTACCCCGCGGGTCAATTATGACTCATTTAATTCTATTCAGCTTGACATTCTTGTTTGGTTTCCTCGGATTTTGGTTGAGGAACTGTAGCGATAACTTTTTATTTAGTTTCTAAAGTTAAATCACAATTAGCTTTGTACAAGTTCTAATTCCAATAACAGAATATTAAAAAGTAATTTAGTTTTTAAATATTATTTATTATATACATTAAAAATTCCCAGCAGAAGCAATATTCGATCTTGTTGGAGCAGATTGTTCAGATTTTTGTGAAATCAAATAATTTTGAATATTGAAATACTGAGTCTGCACAATTTCACGGTCAAAATAACCGAACATTAGCAATGGAAAGAACAAAAAAAAAACATGGAAAAGCAAAGGCATTGTGTAACTAATAAACAAAATATTTTATGAACTAATAAAAAAAAGTTGAAAATTGTAAATTTAAGTAGGATAAAATTTTCTACAAATAGTAATTCGTAATTCGATTAAGGATCCAAATGCATATTTATTGTAGAGTAATACAGAAAATGAACAGAAACCGATGAAACGAAAATGGAATTTGGAACAACTCCGAGCCGGTGATACTTTTTTATCGGTACAAGCTGCCACAAATAAATATGATTCGCAAAAAGGTATGACTGCGCCCGGTATGCCACGATGGAATATAACCAAGGACAAGCATCTCGGGTTTCAATTTCTTTTCTTAAAAATTTGAAAAACTATGATCCTTATAAATTTTATATTTTAAGCAGATCAGTGCAATCAGTTATAATAGAAAATGAGCGGATCTCTTTTTGAGTGATAAAAACAGCGAAAAGATAGAAGAAATATTTATATATCGCAAGTAACTTGAGATGATATCAGAAAAGAATTGATTATTTGTAAGTTATAAAATATAAGTCTCTGATGTTAAGTAATTAATTGAGTGGTTTCCGAATAGATTTAAAATGTCGCAGATTTGACTACTAAAATAAATAATGAATGAGTGAAAGAAAATTGGCTAAATATTTCAGGTTTATAAATTCTGATCGAAAAAGTGAGGAAATGCTGAGAGCACAGTATGGAAGCAATCAGTACGCATCACAAAAAGGTATTTAAAATTAGGTTTTTATCTTTTTTTAGTTTTTATTACTTGATTTTTAGTTATTTCTCCTTTTGTAATTTAAATTTTTTTTGGACAGTACTTTCGATAGTTTTTTTCAAATGTTCTTTTTTTTGAAAAAATTTTGTCATTGTTGATTGGTTTTTATGATGCAAAATCAATTGTGTTTTAAAATAACATTAATTTAGAAAAAAAAAAACTTATTTCCTTATAATATATGCTTGAGTTGGTTTAATTTAAGCGTAAATAAACAATATACGTTATATACTTTTGTGATGATTTTATAATTAGTAATTCCAATTTTAGGCTTAACACCAATTGGTGCGTCACGAGGTCAAGTGTTAAAAGTAGAATATAAAAAGGATTGGAAGACAGTTACTGACAAACAGAGTGAAAAATTTATACCTAAGCAATCTGGTGATTATGGAACAGCTACACAATCCGGAGAGGTCATTTTATAGTATTTTTGATCGTACAAACAAATTAATGGAAACTTTTTTAAATTAAGCTTATCAAAATTTTTAGCGTTCGATGGGTTCTCATCGTAATCAGGTACCAATTATTAGAGGACGTTTACCACGAGATCGACGTTCGAATGGTATATTATGTTATCAGTATGGTACTAATATATTTGCTTCTCAACAAGGTATGAATGCACCGCCAGGTATAGGTGCAGTACGGCAAGTTACTATGGAAATCGAAGGACTTGCTTTGACGTTAGTTTTATAAATAGCATTTCATTTGCAATTTTCCTATATAATCATCAGAATCACAGATGAAAAGTTAAAATTTACAAAATTAGCCAAATAACTGAGTAGTTTTTTTCCACAGAGAGGATGATTTACGAAAGGGTACTGCATTCACACCATGGTACTCTGGACAAAATAAATTTGCCAATCAGTCAGGTACTGGTGGTTTTTTGAAAGTTCGTGATGTACTACCAAATTCAAAGGTATTTTTTCAGCTAAAAAGAAAAATTTTAGATTAAATTCTGTATAATTTTAATTATTTGAAAAGGCTACCTTTATATACAAACTTTAGAAGAATATAGTTACCGTTGATTTATTAGACAAAAATACAGTCAAAATAAGTCAAAAACAATCAGAATTGTTAACATTCGTAGAGTAAACAAAAAAAGTTGCGTAACAGAATCATTTACTTTTGATTTTGAATTTTATTGCAACGATTATTACGTGGATAAAATTAAAGTAAATATAATAAAGTCATACTAATTTTACAATTTGATAAGATTTAAGTCATGAAATTATAAAAAAGAATTATCTATCAGTAAAAGTTCAAAAAATATTATCGATACAGAAATGCAGAAAGCGACAGTAATGTTGCTGAACATTTTAGATTAATTTTTTCTTTTCCTCCTTTTGCACTAAAATAACAGTTATCTTTAAGTGTAATATTTAATCGAAATTCAGATCTGACATCTGCAAGATTCCGTATTTATTAAATTTGTTTACTAATTAAATTTTATCATTTAATTGTTGGCTTTTCTACGTTTCATAATAATTGAATGTTTTAATGAAGTGTTAAAAATTAGCTCAATGAATGGTATCAACTTCTTGATTTCACTTTTTTAGGGTGGTAAAGAAATTGATAAGGAGCTGAAAATTAGATCGGAAGGTATCGTACCACTTCAGGCTGGTACCAACAAACTTGCATCTCAAAAAGGTATGACAAGCTTTGGAACACGAAGAAATGTACTGCTAAAACAGGAATGGAAAAAAGAATGGTTTGTAATTTTTTGTTGAAACCATTTGTGACATCAAATTTCCACAAATCATTCAAAAGTTTACACTGATTTTTTGTTCGTTCTGAAAATCAAGTCCTTTCTACCTAAATTTCGTGTATATCAGGATCGAAGAGTATGAGCAGGCGTTGCGTGAATTTGAAGAAACTCGACCACCTGGCTCAGCACCTGCTGCCGATTCATTTGGATATTACAAGAAGAAATTCGAGGAAAGGAAAGAAGTTAGGAAGGATTTTTGAATTTGCTTCTAATTTACATGAAGTCTTAAAAGCCTGAAATATCTAAAAATTTGTTTTGAAAAAAAAGATAATATTTGACAAACATTCGGTGAATTCAAAGAGTAAATGTAAATGTTAAAGGTTGTATTGCTGTCGCTGATAGCAATAAATCAAAGTTATATTTTTTTTAATTTTACCAAACACTGTTATCCATTAACTACCTAAAATTCAAATATACAAAAAAAAATTGAGCATTACGAAAATTTTTAACAGTATCATTACAGCTATGGCAAATAAGGAGAGAACTGAAAATTGAAAAAAGTATTCTGTTTGAAGTAAGAGAGAAATTTTGATATTAGAAAATTAAGATGACATGTGCACTTATTTTCCAACAGCATCATTAAAGTTCAAAGTGATAATGGTTATCATGATAGGAAGAATATATTGCATGAAAAATCATAATAATCAGTAATTATAGTAACTGCGAGTTCACTGTACTATGAAAATTCAAAACAATATGTTATGATAATTTCAATATTGGAAATAAACAGTTTCCGCTAAAAGTGGTAGAAAAATTTTAAGAAACTTCAAACAATAAATGAAATTATCAATATGTGATAATGGCGTATCGATGTTTACAGCTCTCAGATCTTTAAGTATTACTGAAGAAAAAAGTAATATTGGAATAGTGAAGCCTTCTTAGATGATGCATAAAGCTTTCAGGTAGAAGAAAACAAAATTGAGGCGGAAGTAAATGAGAAGGAAAAGAATGAAGAAGAAGAGGAAGTTATTTTTCGATAATTTGATTTACTTTAAAATTATAATAAATGAGAATGGAATTTCACATGGAAGTAATAATTTTTATTACAGGTGGAGAAAAAGTCAGTGAAAAATGAAGAAGAGAAAGATGAAAGAGATGATAAGGAGGAAGATGAAGAGGAAGAGGAGAAAGATGAAGAAGAGGAAGAGGAAGAGGAGGAGGAAGAGGGGGAAGAGGAGGAAGAAGAGGAAGAAGAAGAAGATGAAGAGGAGTAATTCATAATATCTTTTTAACCCTTATATATTTTAAGTGTATTATTCAGCTGTAGTGGCTCAGCTATGCCTGTAATAAGTATTACTACTGGAAGCATTATATTCAATAAAGCATTTATAATATTGGAAACTGTTCCGTATTACTGATGGCTGGATATGTTGGTCCTTGCATACTTCACCTTCATTTTCATTTCTTGACTTGGGATCTTGGATGAACGCATTTGGTTTTCATAACTTGAATATTTACATGAAATGATTGGAAAGATTCTTCTTCCATAACTGTCCAGTTTGATAGCAGTTGAAGATACTCCTTAACCACATAATCTCTTTTAATCGACTTATCACGATGTAAGCAAGAACAAAATTCTTTTTTAAAGTCGCATTTGGACTATTTATAATCTTGTTTCATCTTATTCCGACTATATTTCTAGACATCTTTATAACCACACTATGACTTACAACGTTCTCTCCCACAATAGCTATCAAATCCATCCTGAAGTTGTAATCATGTAAATCCACTACCCCAATTACATATACCTGTAAATGAAAGTATAAACAAACGAGAGTGATTTTTGTTTCCTAGACATATGCAAATTTTGACAATCAAAATGTCGGGATAGAACTCCCCAAAAAAATATAGAAAGATTGCCGCACAATTTTCCTGCGATTAAGCTGTCTATATCTCTACATAAAAGTTCAGTGTCCAAGCTCGGTAAACCATGAACAAGAGATTTTCGAAAGATTTCTATGGTTAATCTAAAGCACTAGGCTCATTAAATTCACATGTTCTATAGTACTGTTGCAAAAAGATTTTAAATATTAATTTGTACCTCGAGAAATATTTTTATTCCGATGATACGGAATAAGTTCATCAAAATAATCACCGGAATTATTCCGATGATGAGCTTAGATAGCTGATGCATATGTAATAAGAGAAATTAACTAAAACATTTTTCATTGAAACAAACTGATCAGTTCTATAAACTCAAAGTTGATTGGACTGTATATTAAATGCGGAAACTCGACAAAAAACCTACAAATTAAACATTTCGAAAATCTTTATGTGTAAACAAGTTCACGTATTGATTAGTGTGACTGGAATAGTGTATAGAATGGTGAAAAGCATTTTACTCTTTTCACGCAACAAACAATTTAAAAACAAGGAACAAAATGACGCTACACCTTCACAGCATATTTTCTCATTGGGTACTTGCGAAGTTTGGCAAGTTGTTTTTTTGTTTTCAAGTTCGCTTCGTACTTAGTCAGTGCCCGACGCATTGCTCGTGTTTTTTTTGGTCGAATATCCAGTGGTTTGAAATGCTTTCCCTTAAATTTAATTTACTTGGAAATAACATTTAGGATTACGTTATGGTTAGAAAGATATTTTAATCCCGATAAAGTCAGAAGCAGACACATATTTTATTGCATGCCATCATGTAATTTGCAACTATTTATAGCCCTAACATTTATCAACTTTATGCATAACTAATCTGACCAAAAAGGGAAATCAACCTACATTTCAAAAATCTTTGAAAAATACCGCAGCCACGAGAATCAATGATTGTGAAGAAAAACCAGATGCAAAAGGAAAACCTGTGGACTTCTAAGTTAATATTATTCCCCATTAATGATGCGTCGGAGTATAATAACTTAGATAAGGCACTGATAAATTTTCTTACTAGTCAACCAAAATTTAATCACAAAGATCGATTGCGACCTTTATCGTAAACCGAATGTATCAATATGTGACTCACAAAAATAAGCTTTTGTAAGAATCATACAAGCATATATAAGATACTAAAACAACCTTGTAGAACTTCCTTAGTTCCTGCTTCTGTGTTTGATTGATGACTGTCAAAATGCGAGCAATGTTTTTCCGGACAGTACGAATCTTTGAAAGTTTCGAAGCACCTCCACCAACTACTTTTGATACCTGCAACAAATACCCCGGCCTTCTCATAACTCTACAGCAAGCAGAAGAATGCAAAATGAGTGCAGAAAATTCAGCATCAAAATGCTGGTTTTTAAAAGATGGTAGTCATCGATAGTAATCGACTATTTCGAATAACCAAAATACAATTTAAATCAGTGTTTTCAAAACATCTCAAAATCAAGAAACGAACCTGAAGTGAAGCGAGCTCTGTCTTCTGTTCATCAAGCTGCTTCGTTAGCTCTTCTTTCTTTTTTCCTCTTAAGTCGCGCGCCTTAACTTTAGCCATTTCTCCTGAAAAAAATGTTCCCACATTTCCAAATTAAAAATAAACCATAGAATGCATACGTGCAATAAGAACAGAAGATGAGAGTAAATTTACGAAGGATTAAAGGATTACAGACTAAATGCAGCTTGCTTTTATATCGCAACATATCCTCCACCTACTTGTATCACCGATTCTTGTCTGCGTCAGATATTGCCTTCTGAGCACTGATTCAGAATATAAATTATTATAAAATAATATGCTAACTCTTGACAACCCTATCCAACCAGGCCTTCCCTTCTCCTCCACCGTCCCCCTTTTAGCTTCCCTCAACTTCTCACGATCCTAATAAATAACAAACCAACAATGTGGTAGAGCAGAATGAAAATCCCGTCCCAATAATGGCCAGGATTCATGATAGTCAGTGGACAGATAGGTCAGGTTGGAGGTGTAGAAGGACAAATTTGGCGATTATTAATTGTTCGGGTTGTTACGTATTTTCTCTATCGATCTACCTTGCGATTTTCTGATAACTATTACGAAATTTTTGAAATTTTAAATTGATGGGAAAGATGAATGCTTCTCGGTATAAGTTTCTCGATTTGTTTACAAATTTTTTATCAGTGTAACTTTAAGGAGTGCTGGTTCAGAGATTCTGGTGTGGTTTTCCTAATAATGTCTTATATTTATGAGGGAATATGAATTGTATGTGTAGATTTCCAAGTAATTATGAAATTCATCATTTTGTGAGTTAATGATCACCAGGGATATTTCTCATTGTATTCATCTTCCTCTTTTTTCTGTCTTTGTTAAAGACGGAAGATGCGACCTCTGTAAATGCTTATAGACATCTGAGAATGAATTATATTAGGCCGGTAATATCCTTCGTTGGTTGGTTAAGAAAATGTAAGGTCTTCAGGCAATAATTTCCTTTTCATGTTTTAAACAGCATAGTAGCCCATTCCGTATAATAATATTACATTACATTTTATCCTCCAAAATTGAAAAGCTGGTTTTCTGAATTGTCGTCAATCGGTTAACCGACAGAATATAATGAGACATACTCTATCAATTGTTTAGAGATGGCGCAAGTGAGAAATGAAGATGATGTTAATGATTTACGACTAACAGATCAAGTTGTTTTTGCGCCTGACTTGCTGGACGAGTTACTGGAACCGGATCATGAAGCTTGCTCGAGCGAAGGTTGGATCTCTGCAGTGGTAATTAATCAACTGAGTTTCTCTTTTGGAACTAAAAATAATTTTAATGTAGCACATAGTTGTTGTGGTTCACCATCATTTCAGTAATTTGACCTGCTCTCTTAACTTTTTGCAGTACGCACTGTTCCTCTGTACTACATGGAATCATAGAGTTTTATACAGTCTGAGTTTAGGAAGTGAGTTATCAGCTTCCTTTCTTAATAGTATTGTTGGAGATGTAAGGAATATACGCCTCAATTTTCTCTACTATAAGATAAGCCTTAATTTCCATTAAAATAATTTTTCATAATCATTCGATAATCTGCACGCTTTAAGGCCTTTTGAAAGCTTGCTATAATCTACTTTCTATCATTCTCAGCTTTTTGATATGAAGCTACTTTCCTTTATTTTAAAGTTGAATGATTTTATTAAGACTTATATCACTGCCTTATTACTATGTGTTGTGCTCAGGTAAGATTGTGCATGTATTTTAATAGAATAGTATCATTTTGTGTAGGATAATAACACCAAATTAAACTGTAGTTTACACGTGATGTTGAAGATCGGTAAACTCTTAGGGAATCATTTTTTACCATGTGTTGCTCTATCTTACAAAGTATGTAAATCGAGAATTCCTTCATCTTTTAAAAGTCTTTAAAATCGAAAACTTTTTACACTTGACAGTGAGAAATTCGGCTGAGAGTTTTTTAATTCTTTCCTTTTTCTCCGTTGTTGAATTCCTTAACCGCATTTTTTTATTGTAGTTTGAAATTTTTCTAACATTCAATTTTTTGTTATCCTACGTATACTATTTCTTAATCCTTGTTTGTTTGTTTTTTTTTTCAAAGATTTAACTGAATCGTTTAAAAACTTGACCTATAAATAAATGAGAATATCTACTTTATCACTACATTTTAGAGTGCAGGAATGGTCATGAGACGAAGCAGGATGAGCTTAAAATTTCTGACGTTTCTAAAAAGACGGAACAAGTATATAATGTCACAAAAGAGTTTGAAGTAAGGAATCCAGTATATAATTTAAATTAATGCAAAATAAGAATAAAAGAAGTGATCGAAAAAATCAAAGATTGAAGAAAAATCGCAAATTTCTCATTTTTGAAATAGCTAGCTGTATGCTAGGATATTAATTTATCTCCATATATAGTTCGAATAATTGCTGGCATATCCATTTTTTTTATTAACCATAATTTTGCTTTACATCTGCTGGTTTATCCTTGCTCATTTAATTTTTAAGAAAAATTGCAGAGTAATAGCCACGGCAATGATGAAAATGAAGAAGAAATGGCAACTGATAATGATAAGAAAGACAGAAATCCAGAAAATAGTGGTGATTCTGTTGGTGAGAATAGTGATGATGAGAAAGTTGATAAAGATGTAGAAAGTGAAGATGAAGAGTACGTGGTGGAAAAAATCCTTGATAAAAGATATAATCGACGGAAGAAAAGAGTCGAATATTTGATCAAATGGGCAGGATATGACAATGAAAGTGAAAATACATGGGAATCTGCAGAGAATTGTGTAAGTTCCATGTTTCTTATCCATCTCTTCCTTTTCCTCACGCATTTGCGGTTAGAAATAAGTTCAGTCATTACATTGATTTAATACTGCAACATACTGAAGTACTTTGTGTGTTAATCCGAAAGGCTAGAACATTCGCCTGAACTGTAATCACTAAAACGTTATTAGTAAAAACTTTTTAAAATATGACATTTGACAAAATTTTTTATATAGTAAAGATTTAAGAAATCTGCTCCCGATGCAATTCGTGAATATGAAGAAAGTCTGAAGAAAAATGCGAAGAAATATCTTCTACGAAATAGACCAATAACAGAGGTTACTTTTACTTTTTTATAAGTAAAGATATGTGTGCTATATATTTCGTTTATTTCTTCACCTTTTTTTTCCATCTTTGTCTTGCTAACCCTCTTGCTAACTAGCATTCTTCAGGAAAGTGTTTCAAATGATGACGAAGAGAAACCATCAAGAGCCTTAAAAAGGAAGACAAGTGAAATTAACGTGGAAGCACATTCCGAAGGTTATATATCAAATGCTTCTCCTAAATTTACTCTGTGGTTAGTTATTAAATGTTAAATTTCACTTTTTAATATGTTTCAGAAAGTAACAATGATGACAGTGAAGAAATTCAATCAAAACGTACTAAAGTTGACTGCATTCTTGGTGTGAAAAAGGAGCATAATGAAATCTTGGCATTAGTTCGTTTTGAGGATGGACATTATGATCTTATATCAACTCGCGTATTAGTTAATAAATGTCCGAAGGTATTTTTTATGTACTTTTTGAACACTGATTTTGATAGAATCTATAGCTGCTTCGTGTGAGACATAGGTGGCTTGGTTTCTTGCCATTTGCTATTATTAAGTGGTAAAGTTTTCTTTGTCATTTGGCATTTGTAGTTTACTGAACTAAGGAAAATTCAGTTGTTGAAAGCCCATTTGTGAAGTGAACATCAAATATAAATTTGGGGTGCTAATATTGAATAAGGATGGTGATTCAGTATAATTTCAGAAATTGGTAAATTATTACGAGAAATCATTAAAATTCATCTCATCGTGAGCGATTTGGAACGCTTTATGAGCTATATAACAATGATTCAAACTTCAAATTAAAGGAAGAGTTGTTTTAAATACTAAATTTGCGGCAATATAAGGTAGATATTTTACTGCTACTCTGAAATATACATTAGTAGCTACTTGTAGTGCACGTTTTTAAGTGTTTTAATGCAAATGGAAATGATTGTATTTGATACTGTTTCTTCTAAATATGTATTAGCTATCTGTTCTTTCATTTCGATGTATATTTTCGTCATATCCACTCTATTCAATAAAAGTTGATCAATTTCATCGTTATATCTGTTGATTTCCGGTAATCAGCTAGATGTCATTCTTCACATTTTTTGATGGGTGTTTTTACCCAAATTTTATTCCAGTGACCTTGTTGAATTTGTCTTTACCAAAAATTGTATTTAGTTACATTATATCGCAAAAGTATGACGCAAGCAGTTAGATTTTGGGATTACCTGAAGTTTTTTTACTGCGTTCTTTTTCGTAGTGGGTTATAATCCGATGCGGATTAAGCTTGTTTCGTTTGATGTGTGCCAAACGCTTGCCATGAAAAATTTACAGTACTAGTACCTTTACTTATTACTTCTCAGATATTTAATTAAATTATTGCGTATCGAATGTTTAGTTTCCCCCTTTTATGAGTTCGTAATTCGACATTGGTAAGAGAGTTCAAATCCATCGTAGTGTAAAGTACTTCAATTTATAGTTAAGATTGATGTCGAATCTCGTTGAAACTACGACCGTACAAGTTAATGGTGGTTTGGTACCCGAAAAGTTAAAAACAGCGAAAGAACTAAAGAAGGAGGCAGCGAAAGCAGCGAAGCTAGCAAAATTCCGTGAAAAAGTGAAGAAGGCGGAAGTGCAAGCATGTCAGGCAAAACGCACAGTGGAGGTTTTTTTGCAATTGTTTTTTTCTCTTTGGTGTCAGAAATTGTTTGTTTTAATTTTGTATGCTTTTTAACCTTTCAATAACATTTTCAGACAGCAGAAGCAAAGAAAAGGGAGATTTGTGAGTACACTGCCAATACAAAACTAGGAGAGAAAAAGAATATTGTTGTTGAATTACCGAATGCTTATAGCCCAAAATACGTGGAAGCAGCTTGGTATGAGTGGTGGCAGAAATCAGGCTTTTTTCGGCCTGAGTATAAACGTGATTTAAGGTTTGCTAATTAACGATAATATGAAGCTTATTCATGCTTTTTCGAATTTTATACTCTTGATAACTGCCGATGGATTAAAATAAAATTCCTTACATGGATGTCAGTGGAGACTGGCTGATTCTTTTATGTTGCATTTTCTCAGGGGCGCATCGCATATCAAATGCATCCCAAACGGTTTCATTAATAATGATAATTATAATGATAAATTTTAATGATAATTATTGACTACTAAGTGTTCTTTTAAATTATTTTTCAAATATTTGTTTTTTTGGTAATTTTTTTCTTAAAGAGATTGTTACAGTAAACCGAATCCGAAAGGAATATTCACTGTAGTTATTCCTCCACCGAATGTCACCGGAACACTGCATTTGGGACATGCATTGGCTACTTCCGTAGAAGATGTTGTGTGTAGATGGTAATTTGTAAAAGGAATTTGTTTCAAACACAATTTTTTTACAGTATTAAAATAAGATCGATGACTTGTGCTGGCTATTTATTAAATAAATGTTGTCCATTAGGTTTTTTCTAATCGATTTTTTAATGGCAATACGATTAGAATTTATCTTATTCATTCATTTTTCTAGGCATCGTATGAAAGGCAAAACAGTTTTGTTCAATCCAGGTTGTGATCATGCTGGAATCGCTACGCAGATTGTGGTAGAAAAACGTTTAAAACGTGAATTAGGTTTAACAAGGCATGATCTAGGCCGTGAAAAGTTTATTGAAGAAGTGTGGAAATGGAAGAATGAGTGCGCTTTTCTTTTCAATTTCATTTATAAAAGAGTGTAACCATTAGATATGGCATATGGAATCATTAGCGATTGTTGTGAAATTGTTACTTAGAAATAAATGCAGTAATCTGGTACGTTTTATTTTTATTTAACTGAGTTAGTATTTGATGTATATTAATCTTCATATTTTATGAATGTTTCACAGTAATTAAAGCTATAGTTTAAAATATTTCGCAATGCATCTTGAATTTTTGAGTAAAATATAAACTCTTCCTTGGACAAGCCATAATTTTACATTTGGTGTATTTTTTTCATCTGTGGTATTGCAGAAAAGGAGAAGTAATTTACGATCAGTTGCGGAAAATCGGTGCAGGAGTTGATTGGGATCGAGCTTGTTTCATGATGGATCCAAAAATAACACGTGCTGTAACACATGCCTTTATAGTAATGCATGAAAAAGGTATTATATATCGAAGTAATCGGCTGGTAAATTGGTGCTGCGTTCTAAGATCTGCTATTTCCGATATTGAAGTATTATTTTTAATTTTTCACATCATTTATCCTCATTTTCACATCATTCTTAATATTCATCACAAGAAGTATGAGTAATTTTCATTTGAAATTATAAATTTTTATTTGAAATGTAAGACTTTTCTGTAAAAGTTGCCAAAGTTTTGAGTCTGACGAATTTTTCTCCAATACTCTGCCATGACACTACAGAAGAGGCAAATTGATTTAAGGCAGTTAAAAATATCAAATATGAGATGCTTTTTTTTAAATTATATTGGTTTTGTTTTAGTATCACATTTTTTAATATTATTTTTAGGTTGAGAAAGTGGAGTTAAGCGGACGTACATTGCTATCTGTTCCTGGATATTTGAAAAAAATTGAATTTGGTATACTGACATCTTTTGCTTATCCGATCGAAAATTCAGGTAATTTCAATACGCTTATTTCTTTTGTTTAGGATCCAGCTGACACTATTTCACATATAAGTATTCTCAAACAATATTTCATTTAGATGACGAGGTTGTGGTAGCAACTACTCGAGTTGAAACGATGTTGGGTGATAGCGCTGTTGCTGTACATCCGAAAGATGAGCGATACAAACACTTCGTTGGCAAGGTTCTTTTGACTTTTGCATTATGGACTAGCGATTAAGTATAGAAATGTATTAATCACTGAAAGCATGATGCATTTTTTCTTTTAAAATGTTGTACTATATGGATTTATTCTGTTATCTTTGTGTACTAGAGTTTAAAAGAGTTAAAAAATCAAAGAGCTGAACAATAACTTAAAGCATCATAACCTTGTGTCAAAGTATCATAATCTAATTTATTCTAGAATTGCATTCATCCATTTCTTCAAAGGAAACTTCCAATTATAGCCGATTCGTTCGTGGACATGGAATTCGGCACAGGTGATTTTAAATTTTTGCATACTTTTAAATTGATGTACTTTGTATTAGGAAATACTATGTTTTGAACAATCCCCAAAATCCAGAATTCCTTTCGTATTTTTTGACAAGAAAGTTTTTTCATTAAATGCTTTAATAATTGCTTAAAATCCTGCATCAATTTCACCATTTTGATGTAAAAGATAAGCTATCAGTCAAAAATTAAGTGATTGAAACTGAAATATTTTGTTCAGGAGTAGTGAAAATAACTCCTGCTCACGATCATAACGATTATGAAGTAGGACTTCGTCACAATTTAGCATTCATTACTTGCTTCACAGATGATGGCAACATGACCGAGCAGTGTGGCGAATTCAAGGTTTTCTTTTGCTTTTTGCTTGTAAAATGGGATAAACATTCAGGATTTTACGAATTAAATAAAGATTAGATTTATGCATTTTATGAGTACATTCATGAAATCCAATATTTGTTGCTCTCATTATTCAGTTTCTTTAGAACATGAAGCGATTCGAAGCAAGGGACGCTGTTTTAGAGGCTCTCAAAAAAAAGGGTCTTTTTAGGGGACAAACTGATAATCCAATGGTTGTTCCTTTATGCAGGTAAGCTTCTAGCGCATAAAAATTAATGCACCAATATTTTTTTTAGCGTGCTTGTCAGTTGAATAGTTTAGAAATTTTTTATTGAAACCCCAAAAAATTTCCAGTCGTTCTAAAGATGTTGTTGAGCCGATTTTGAAATCACAGTGGTATGTAAAATGTGACCAGATGGCACGGCGAGCTATTGAAGCGGTAGAGAAAGGACATTTGAAAATTATTCCCGACTTTCATGTCGCGACATGGCGGAAATGGTTGGAAAACATTAGGTACTTTTAGTTCTTTAGTTTCAACGAAAAATATGAAAAAAAATACAGAAATTGCTTTGGATTTGGCTTATATTTTCTTTAAGAAATAACATTTTTGCCTCCGTATCTACTAATAAACTTTTGGTAGTGCTTTAAAGAAGTGTTAGAATTTAAACGAATCTACCACCTGAACTTTCTTTTAAACTCATGTCACTCTGTGATTTTTAGAGATTGGTGCATCTCGCGGCAGTTGTGGTGGGGCCATCGCATACCTGCTTACTTCGTCAGTGTTGATGACCCCAAAGTTCCTGCTGGAACTTCTGATAACAATGATTATTGGGTGAGTGCACATGATGAAGCTGAGGCATTAAAAAAAGCTGCTCGAAAGTTTGACGTTTCGGAAGAGAAAGTTTCTGTGAAAAGAGGTAGTTTTCATATCAGTTGTTTATATGTTTCCTGGTCTGGATCTTATTTTCCTTCACTTTCTGGCTAATTTATTGTTAAACGCTAATTTGCTGTTAAAATTTACTGTTAAATTTATAGTTTTCAAGACTATGTCATTTCTTTTTGTCCATCTTCCATGTGTTGGTTCTTCAGCAGATGATGTTTGTTTTATTTAAGCAAACAACAAGGTAATTTATAGATGAAGATGTTTTGGATACCTGGTTTTCTTCTGGAATGTGGCCGTTTGAAATTTTCGGATGGCCTGAAAAAACTGCTGATTTGGATAAGTTTTTCCCGGGTACACTTCTGGAAACTGGACATGACATACTTTTCTTCTGGGTAGCGCGGATGGTGTTCATGTCTCAAGAACTTACTGGGAAGTTACCATTTCAAGAAGTTAGTTTATTAAGTTCCACTGCCATAGAAAAGGCAGTACAATAATATAGGAAGTGACAAAACGAAGATTTTCTGACAAGATGTTTTCCACTTAAAGAAAAATAACAAATTCCTTTGGAGCTAGTTAGAATGTTTAAGCGTTCAATTCCTTTTCCAACAACCAATTTTTTTCTCTTTTAGGTTTATTTGCATGCTATGATTCGGGATGCTCATGGGCGTAAAATGAGCAAGTCATTAGGTAATGTAATAGATCCTCTGAATGTAATACATGGTATATCATTGACGGAACTCAACAAAATGTTGGAATCTGGTAATCTTGATCCGAAGTTAGCATTTTAGTCTAAAATGAATTGCATTAATCTCATAAAATAGTTCATATATCAGAATCTATAATTTCTGAATGATTATACGTTCATCTTTTGCTTCTACTGTATCTTTTCTGAATTTTATTTTGTTTTAATAGCGAGAGATTTGCACAACACCGTACTCAACTGTGTTATTGATGATGGAGTAGTTGTGTTCAGTTTAAAGGAATAATACATTACTTTATCATCATTACAGAGAACTAAAAAGAGCAAAAGATGGGCAGGCACGTGATTATCCGAATGGCATTCCAGAGTGTGGTACTGATGCATTACGGTTTGCACTGATGAATTATACTAGTCAGTGCCGAGATATCAATTTAGATGTACTACGTATCCAGGGATATAGGTTCTTTTGCAATAAAATCTGGCAAGCATCGAGATTCACATTGATGCAGTTGCATAGCACTTTCGCACCTACCGAAAAATTTGATGTTAGTTTTTTATTAATATCATAGATTTTAACGCATGGAAACAAATACTGTATTAATAGCTCACATGCTTAATTTTCGATAAAAATATGGATCCAGCAAATTCAGAGTTGAAAACGGTTTTACTTTTGGTTGGTATGGCAGGAAAAAATTTTGTTCCTTTCAGTTGCCAGAAGAGAGTAGTACTTTGGATCGTTGGATCATATCACGACTGTCTTATGCTGTGGAATCATCTAACAGTGGGATGTCTGATTATCAATTTAGTCGTGTCACGACTTCGCTGTATAATTTTTGGCAATATGATTTTTGTGATATATATATTGAAGGATGCAAATCAATGCTTGCTAATGGTGGTCAGTTCTTTCAGCATGTCATTCACAAAAATCAGTATTTAAAATATCTAATTATTTTTAAAAGTTCTGTATGTTATCCTTTCTTTTTTGTGCTGTTTTTCTTTAAGATCATTTGCTTCGTGTACTCTCCAGTTCCTATTTCGTAAGTCAGTTCACTTGTAAAAATCAGTGATATGTAGGGGATTCTAACGGTGCAGAAATTGTACGAAAGGTGCTGTTTGAATGTGTGGAAACAGGATTGCGGTTGCTATCACCGTTCATGCCTTTCATCACTGAAGAGCTTTGGCAGAGGTTGCCATCACGTACATCGAAGGAGCAATCAGAAAGTATCTGTGTTACATCGTATCCGGAAATAGAAGAGGTTTGTTATTTAAAAGTATTATCTGAATTCGATTCTATTTTTGTATAAAGAGTAGTTTTTCACAGCGTAATTGCTTTTACAGTATGCATTCCGAGATGAAGCATTGGAAAATAGGGTGGCACGCGCAATGCATATCGTGAAAATTGTTCGTTCTCTTCGTTCCGATTATGGGCTAACAGCTAAAGTTAAGACTGAACGTGAGTTTCATCCAGACGAATAAACATTTTTATAGTAATATCCAATTCTATTCTAAATTATTATTTCTCATCATTTGCAGTTTTTTGAACTGATTTTATATTCAATGATTTCATTGGTTTTCTAAGTTAATTGTTTCAGTTTACATCAGTTTTGATAACAAATCAGAAGTAGTGGAAGTGGATGATCTTATACCGTTAATAACTACTTTGACTTCCTCGTCCAAGGCTTGCTTTTTTTCGCATTCATTCTTTTGTAAATTTTCTGCCGATTTTTCCCACAGTTATAATCAAATTGCGACAATCTAAATCTTAATTTAAAAAAAAATATTTAGCAAATGAATAGGACGTTAAAGTTATATAAGGTTTCAACATCATGCTGATTCTTTTCAGGTTTTCTTGCTAACTGCGGATAAAGCACAACAGATACCACGAGACTCTATACAACTTATTGTTTCGGCAACTTGCAGGATTTCACTTTTGCTTGAGGTTTTTCTCAGCGAATATTTCATTGCAATTTATCTACGAAACAAAGAATTCGCATTTATTTTTCAAATCGGTATGATAATTGCTGCTGCATTTCAGGGTATAATCGATGTTCCCAAGGAAATTACGAAATTAACGGATAGACAGGAGAAATTGATGGTTCAACTACAGAAATTGCAAGAAACAATGTCTAGTCCAGCCTATAATAAAGTGCCTCTTGGAATACGTAATAATAACGCAGAAAAGGTGAAGCAGCTTATTTATTCAAATTATGAAATGCTTGAAGAGACCGTTCAACTATTCAATGAGTTGTTTCAACTCTCTTCTTACATCAGTTCAAATTATCAATTATTGATGTCAAAATATTCGGTTTTTTCTAATGCAAGAATTTTTTCGTATTTTTTCTCAGAAAATGATGGAAAGTAGAAACACCTAGGAAAAACCGAAAAGATTTCCAAGAGTTGCAAACTACTAAAACTTATTTTCAGAATGAACGTTTCAGGTAGCGTCGCTGTCGGCGGAATCAAAACATCTTAATGAAGCCATAATCGCGCTCAAAAACTCACTAGTATGAATTTGTTTATTTCCTGTAATAGTTTACTTTTTAAATTATTGGTGATGGTTTTTCTTTTTCAGAACTCAAATATCTGATCAAATTCTCTTTCATCAGCTTTGCAAAGATACTGCTTTATCTGATGTTATACCGTTGCTTGCATTATAATGTTGATTCTCTCAGTTGTATTGTTGTTAGAAAAATATAATTGTTTGTTTTTATTTTTGTTTGCAATTTTACATGTAACCTGTCAGATGCAATATTTTGGTGATGTAAGTAGTAAAAGAAATTAGAAACCTTGTGGTGATTTCAATTAGTTATTGGCGGGTCAACCAAGATGGAGAGGGAACGTCAATTTCAAGAATCTTAAGATGAATTTGGGTGAGAGTGAGATTGCAATCATTCCATATAAAATTAATAGGTTTTTTTCAAATAGTTCTTGGAAATGCAGTCTAAGAAAGTTTTAGATTTTTTTAAAATGCTCCTTAGAGGTGCAATCTAGGATAAATAATTTTGCAAATTCTTACACAAGTTTACATTGTAAACTGTTTTTATTCCAATTTAAGGGCTGTTTTGATACATGTATGAGGATTCACATAAATGCTATGAATGCATGGAGAATTATAAAGTAGCACAGCAGCACACTTTATATAAAACAGAGCGGTTGAAATCGGTTTATGAACAGGTGGTAGCTTCATTATTTTCGAAGCATGTCAGATTGAAACCTTTGCCTGTTGATGAATCATCTAAAATTGTTACGGACGAGGAACTGGCATTTCAGTCATGGGATCTGTCCAGGTGTTTTAATGAGTTGAGGGTATGTATGATTCTTTTATGGAACTTAATACCGGAAATTCGAACATTGTCTTTAACTTGTATTTAATTTTTTCTAAAAATTCCGAAACCTCGATCTCATGAGAGGTCTCTAAGTTTTTTATTCTACGAAAAATAACATTGTCAGTGTTTATTATATTTAGGAAATGATCCCGAATACTAATCTAGACGATTGGCGAAGACATACTTCATTTACACACCCTCTACGTTCCTTCATTCATGAGCGTGCAAAGAGTGCCTGTAGTGTGGAATACAGTACCCAAGCTTTCTTCAAATTTTACGAAATGTTAATGCGCTTCCCCCATCTTTTCTTTCCTTGCTGTGATACGAAGCATATTATAAGGTATAATGCCTTTTTTCGGTAGGTAAGGTATCATTAATTTGTTTTAACCGGAGTAGAATTTTGAAAACATCTCGCCTCAAAATGATACTGTGATTATATGTGTTCCAGAAGCTTTCATTTATGCGAATCACCTGGTGCTTTTATTTCGGCTCTCAACATTTATTTAATATTGCAGAAAAATAAGCTCCCATGGCATTGGTACGCAAATAGGTATGCTGTTTACTTTGAATCTTAATTTATCTAGTTTCAAATATATACTTAATAGTTTAAACTGCTTAGAAGTGAGGAGGCAGCGTGAACAAAGTAAAAATTTTGAGAAGTTTTGTAGGTTTGCTTCATCCGATACTGAAATTTAGAATAAATTCTTTAAGTTGAGAAAGTAGAACAAGAAAAAGGTCGATTGGGGATGCAGAAATGAGAAAGAGAATGATAGTAAGTTAGGAAAATCTAGAAAGTCGGTCTATGCTGAAAAAGATGTAGAGCATACGAAAATCTAAAATTTTAATTTTAAGTTTAAATCCTCATTATGAATGGAATTCACCATTCGACATGTTCCTGGATGATGAATTAATCACAAACACATATCCAAACTGGTTTTTTGGTCCCGATAACAGTGGTGATATACTGAAATGGACCAACGAATACATTGGCAGTATTGCTAAAAAAGTTGGAAAATTCTCTTTGATAACTGCAGATGGAAGTGTATATTGCCAGGTCTTGCATACTTTCAATTAAAATCATTTCAAAAATAAAAAAGGACAAAGTAGCGATATTATATCGCTTTGTAAAAATGTTTGTTTTTACAGATTTTTTTAGTCAGAAATTTGCTAAGCAAATTAGTTTGTTGGGACTTTATTCTTTAAAGTCATTACTAAATTTGTGTTTTGTTGGAAAGTTGAGCGGCAAGTTAGGAGCACCTATATCACTCGAAATTTCGGAATTTTAAGTTTTTAACTGTTTTCTTGCAAATTGTTGATAGTTGATCATTTTTTCAGGACATTCCGGCAGAGCAAGAACGCGTCATTTTTCCTTTGTTGCAGAAGGAGATTGATGTATCGTTATCATTACTAGAAATTAATGGTACATTTGTTGTAAAAGTTTATACATCATTTCTCAATGATACAGTAGCATTGTTGAATCGTCTCATTATGTGCTTCAAAGAGGTTCATGTCATAAAACCTTCTTGCAGCAAACCAGGCAATTCTGAGGTTAATGTTAAATTTGTTTTTGAAGATTTTTGATCAATTTTTTCCGTTTAAACTTTCAGAAAATTTTATTAAACAAGAATATAATCTCATTTTAATTTTCTAATGCTCTGAACGGTTCTGTTTATTTTAGCTTTACCTGTTATGCGCGAGCTATGTACCATACGAGCAATATGAAGAAGGAACAGAACTATCTACATCTTGTCGAAAGGTTCTTGTGTTGTGAGAATTGTTTCTTATTCAAGTCCTAAAAATATTCATATATCAATCAATATTTTTATTTTCAGGTTTTGTTGGAATGCTTAAAATTTTTTGTAGAACAACAGATGCAAATGATTTGGTTCAACATTGCAACTTTTGGTAAAATCGAGGTATCTTCTGAACAAGTTTATTGATCTTTAGGACTGTTTCAGGTATATTTAATCTACCATTATCAATTGTTTTTTGCTTTTCATTAATCTAATTCAGAACGATTTGAAAGATTTCATTGAACAAAAGAAGATGCAAGCAGCAGAAATCTATGAGCAAATGATGATTACATCAAAATTTGAAGAATTTGCTGCCGAACTTCTTCCAGCTTCTTTTACTCTTCTCAAAAGGTGATTCATATGTGAATGCAGTGAAAATACTTGATACTTTTTCTACATTTTTGTTAATCTTATCTCATTTATGTTTATGTTTCTCAGACCCAATCCATGGAAGTTTTCGAAGCTTGGTGGTTTCATCGAAGGACTACGAAATATTACCACTGAGGAGGCACAGGTTTTGATTGAAAATATGGTGAGTTAAAGGCAGTAATTTAATTTTCCAAGCAGCTCTAATTTTGAAGTTGTTTTTTGTTTTTAAAATGCTTCTCTTTCAAAAATATGATTTTTCAGATAATTCAAGATTTTATGAAAGGAGATAATGTTGCAGCAGAACACAAATTTGACATATCTCCTTGTTGGATTTGCGATTGCTGTCAGTGGATTGATAATTTCTGCATTAATAAGTACAGTTTGGAAGAGATCCTAAATATGGGTGATGCACCATCAGAAGCTAGCATAAGACATACGCTATTCCTAGAACCGAAGATTTTAGCGTTATTGAAATGCTCCTCTCTGGTAACATCCAAATTTTTTCGATTTTTTATTGTTTGAATCTTGCCACCTAATAAAATCAGACTACTTTAATTCAATTTCAATATCACAGCACTTTGTTTTTTATGCTTCTTTAATCTTCCTCGAATCCACTGCTTTCTGAAAAATAATTTGGATATTTTTATGACTGCATTTATTTCTAATAAGATAGTTAATTTTTAGGAAATCTTAGATATCTGTTCTGTTATTTCCTCATATGCCGTTAATGTAAGTCTCGAAAGATTGGAAACGGCGCCGCAGTGCACGTCAACAGTTGAAATTAATTCATCTATACTCAGATCTCAGTTTGATTGGATATCAGTCCTTGAAGAAATATCTCTTTGTGCATTGAATCACCAGGTTCCTTGTTACGAATTGATTTTGGAGTGTGGAAACATGAAACTAACCTTTCTTTTTGTAATTCTTGGAATTTTGTTCTTGATGGGCCGAATTTCTTTGTAATAAGATGAATAATTTCTGCACTTAACTAATTTTGTTGCCCATGACATGAGTCCTTTAATCGCGGTAAGGGATTTTTGAAATTTAGAATGCTGTTTTAAAAAATCATTGAAAGTAAAAAATAAGTATTAAAAGAAGAAAATTGCTTTACTTTGGTTAAAATGTTAAATTAGAAAAAAAGTGATTACTAGTTTACAGGATTCAAAACTGGAAATAAGAATTCCTTCTTCCTCGTTAATACTAACTCGTTTCACTGTCTCATTTATGGCATTTTGCTCCCTGTGTTATGAAAATGTTGTATTGTTGTGTCCTGAGGAGAATTCCCAAATGGCATCTAATCAGCTAATATGCTGTAATTCAGTAAGCTTTTTTTGCCTAATTAAAGATTATATTACTTTTTTGTCATATTGAGTTCATTATGGAAATAATTCATAGTTGTGACAAAATGTGCAGTATTTTTCTTTATGTTCTCAAAAATTTGCAGCGGAAGAATGTTCACAACTATTCTGAATTTCTTCGTTATTTGTCAATCATCAAGAAGATGTTGTTAGGTTAGGCTTTCATATTTGCTTAATGAGGGCTATGTATATAAAATGCAGAAAATTAGGATTCATTTACACATTTCGATTGAACTTTGGCCTTGTAATTGAATGCTAACACATCCATCCGCGTTTTGAATAGTTGATCTTTGTTATATCTGTAAAACAGCATGTTTAAATAGCTCTTAATAGTCCAGCAATAATAATAATAATATATTCCAGATGTTATTCGAGATGGGTTGCATATTTATCGATTTGTTCCTGAACGTCAGTTCAGATGTGAACAGTTTTACGCATCGATATTACGTTACAATTCGTTCATAGCGCGAAGAATGCTTACAAAGTGCAAGTTATAATGTGTATTCGTGTGAACGAAGCCAATTTGAAGTACCAGTTCAATGGAACTAAATTTATAACTATCGAGACAGTCGGTTGATGTGAAATAATATGAAGAATGTATAAACCATTGCTGTAGTTTACGTTTGTGCGGAATCAAGCGGAATTAAATTCTGCACATGACTCCGCGTGCGGAATTTATTTGAGAGGATATACGAATTAAATAATATACTCTTTATAGGCCGCAAAACTTCTTGTCATGCATATGTGTTTAGTTTTTCAATTTCAAATCCTTGAAAATTCGAAAATACTTTTATTTTCCATTTACATTTTAAATATTTATGATTTTTTTTTCTTTTACGGTTTTTTCCGTATTTCGGTAGAAATTTGGATTAAATTTAACTGAATTTAACTAATTTTCGTTAAAAAAAACTACGCTAAAAGGGTACAGCGCTACTTGAATGATTCTGATATTCATATTTGCTCTCAACAGGTCACGGATAATTTGCTGACTCTGCTATCTATTTGGGGTATGAGAAAAAATGAATTAAAATTTGCGATGAAGTAGAAAGAACAATATCTATTTTAATTTCAAACTCTGCTTTATTTCCTTTTCGAAATCATTCAGGCACTGAAGAAAATGAATCGAGCGCTTAGAATTTCTTTCTCTGGTCTTTTTCTGTTTCTTGAGTCAAGGACAGCAGGTGGCCATACTTTTCATCTTTTCATCATACTGGTGAGTCATCTAAGATATTATGAAATGAAGAAAATTATGCGAAGCGTAGATAGAGGTTGCGGGCATTAAAATTATAGATCTCATAGAAATCAAGCTTTTGAATCTCAAATTGACTCAAATAAACTCATTTAAATCGGAAAAAAACTGAATCGAAAGGAGGGTATAATTTATAATTCATATGGATCGGAGAGGAGGATGTAATTTATGAAGAGACGATTCATATAAAAACATTTAAACCCATATCGGTAGCATATAAACATTAGCATCCATTTCAATCTGATTTCTAAATGCTCTGTTAAAGAGTTTAATATATGCTTGTGATAATGAAAGGTATTTCGTTTCCATTTCATTTTTACGGTAATAATAACTGATCAATGAGATATGTCACATAAAACTTTTAATGAGATATGTCACATAAAGCTTTTTTTAATTAATTGAGATTAGCACGATCGTCTTGTTTTGTAAAAACGGTGCTTCTAGCATACAGGTATGCTGCGGTAAAAATCGCAGTTTCAACTTTCTTTTTTTGATTTGTTGATTAACCTTTTTAATAAATCTTATGGCTGTGTTCTAAATTTCATCAAAAAACACAAACATTTGTTTAAATTGAATGCTGTGAATATCAAATTCATTACATTTTATTGGTTAAAGTCGTTGAATAGAATTATTCCTAAAATCCAGTGTGCTCATAATTACTTTTTTTAGCCAATTATTTCAGTTTTATTTTGCTCAATTTACTACGCTTAATAAACTTTGTCATAAATAGTTGATCAGGTTTTCTTCGCGATTTTATTATTAATTTATATTTAATGCTATCTAACAACAAAATTTTATTTTCCTCAATTTCCACTCTCTTTTAATCCATTTTTGATTTTAGCCAAGTAAAATAAAAAATGATATGTTTTTGAATGAGCTAAGTCAATGCCTTGCTTTCTGTTTGCATTTGTAATTCGTTCTCCACATGAAATTTGATTTAATTTCAAATTTTGTTCAATCAAATGTAAATTGAAATTTTCCAATATAGGAAATCTTTGATATCGCTTCAATAATATTCATGATTTTTCTTTATTCGCTATGAATAAAAATTTTGAGTGGAAAACTCTTTATTATTCATCTCGAGATCTTAAATGAATTACCTTAATAAAAAAATTCATTGGCACAATTTCGAAGGACATATAAATCAAGCAATAGTAGCCGACAATTATTTTTTGCATGAAAATTACGATTTCTCCTGAATCACTTCCAATTCGGTTGCTTCTTCCTGAGCAGCTCTTGGAATGTCAGCATTTCGTATATGATCGAAATATTTACGACATCGATTGAATACGAAAAATTGATAAATGAGATAAACACCAGCAATTATTATTACAGTCTTGAGCACTAAGACTATCAAGAATCGTACAATGAATTGTTGTTGATGGCCTGAAAGCACCTTTCAAAGATGTAAAGAGTTATGCTGTGATGTCACTTGAACTTTACTATCATATTTTCAATTTTCCTCTAAGCATTAAAGGTTTAATAAATAGAATTAAAAGGTTCTGAAAAATTAATTTTTTTAGACAAATTTTTCTTTGTAGCGATGTGAAAATAGAATATTCATTTTCTATCATGGCTAAAGTGAATTATTGAAATTTTGGATATGTTAAAAAGTAAAACTTTCGGCATTTTTAAAGACTCACTTCCAATGGTAGTAACAATAATATATAAACTATTTATTATCAAAAAAAAGTGTAGGACAAATGTAAATATTTGATAAAATTTCGTTGTCATATTGACTGTTTGGCTTCCGTTATCTTTTACAGAATGTGCAAAAGTATACCTTGTCCGAATGTATCCAGAAATGTCTGAGTACTAAATAATGCTGTTGTAAACATGACAATTGTTGCAGATGACCAGATTAATATTGCTAAGATCTAAAAATAATGAAAGTACTGCCTAATTTATCCTTTCTTTCGAACTCATAACTCTTCTAACAACAAATTAAATATTTAAAAAAAAAAAACCGAAATCTAATTTATTCTTCTAAATCTTAAATCATTTCATTAAAAGATTTCACTTGAAATTAGTATGAAAATTATTAGAATTTAAATGAATTCAAATTACCGAATGAATAATAGCTGGCCATAAGCAGGAGGCTTGTTTTTGTCGAAGAGCATATGCTGTTAATAAAAAATACAATAGTGCTATCCAAATGATCAGTATACTCCATGGAAACAGAATTCCAATTATGATCATCCAGCAGCTCATATTAAGCATAAACATAAATTTTGCAGCAAGCTGTAAAGTGATCATTGATCGATTATTTGAAATGATCACAATCAAATTGATTGTTTTATATGATTCAAATGGTTAATAAATTGGGTAATTTTATTCCCTCTTTAATAATACTAAAATTCTTCACTTCTTCTTGCATTTTGCTAATTGATTTATGACAACAGTAAGTGAAGCAATTGATAGATACTAAATTTTCTGTAAAATCTTCATTTATAAAATCAGAATCTATTTAACTACGAGATGAATGCTAAGATTAAAATTTAAAAATTCAGGATGAAAACGAACATAAACATGAAATTTATTGTTGAAGCATCGAAATGCTGGATTATTTGGTTCAACATCAACTTTTTTAGATACCAAATCTGTCAAATACTCCTTGATTGGTACATCGTGAAATTTCTTGTTTATCATTTTTAATTAACTGCAACTACACTTATTGACTGTAATGTGAAAATGTGCAATTAACTACCATTTACCAAATTATAGATAATTTCATATCTTCTCATTAAAATGATTTGATTAATGATAATAAATCAAATCATTTTAGCGAAAAGAACTTCTGCACTTGATGCAAATACGCTGAAGACGACAACTAGTTTCCTGGAAGAATTAGAATTCAATATGAAGTAACATGAAATGAATTTTATCATTAATTTGTTCCTCAAGTGGTTCTGGAATTTTTCAAATGAATTAAGAGTGGGCATTGAAGAAAAAAATTTTCCAATTTCGGCAATCAACTGCTGGTCAGTAATAAGTACAAAATAAATAAAGGTCATAAATATACACTATGAGGAATGAAATGTAAATTTCATTTAAAAATGAAAGAAATAACTGTAACGCTTCCCTTTCGTCATCGATCGAATGTATTTGAAAGAGATGTTTTAATGGCAATAAGAGAGTAGTAAAAAATGTCTATGAATCAAAGTTACAATTGTGATGGAAATTGAAATTCCTTTCTGGATTTTTTAATGACTATTTATGTTGCACATACGGAATTACTTGAATTGAACTCATTACCCAAAAAAGTAGCAACAATTAAATCATTACGCAAATTCGAAATGTTTGAAAAACATGTCACCTTTTTTTCTCGATTTTTGATTTTTAATTTCTAACTGTTTGACGGCTTAAAATTGCCAATAAAAAAATGTAATCAATAATAAGACTTTCAATGTTTTTTTCATTGATATATTTTAAAGTCTCTAAATGCATCATTGTTTAAAATATCAAATAAACTAAATTTATAAATTCTCAGGCTCGAAAATCTCTAAATGTTATACAGTAGATGTAAAAGAATAAGGTTTTAGAAATCACAACTTTTAATGACATAATATGTTGTAATTTTAACATCATAACTACTTTTAATGATTTCTCGAAAGAAAGAAAAATAAATGGCATATAATTTATCTATCCAGTATATCATCCTGAAGTGAACATTATAGTAAATGACCTTATTCCAGCTTATCTTTCATTTACCTAGAAAAAGCTAACTGCTCTAATTAACTTATAATAGCAAAGTTTGTTGGCTTTTTTGTTTCAATTTTTCTGTCGATTAAACTTTTCCTAATAGCGTATAAGTGGAAAAAAAAACTTTTCAATTTCGGCAATCAACTGATAGCCAGTAATGAGTACAAAATAAATAAAAGTCATAAATACACACTATGAGAAATGAAATTTGAATTCCATCTATGAATTACTCCATCATTGTAGCAGTGATTTATGAAAGATTTATTCGTTGATATTCGTTGTTAAATCATTATTACAATGATGGAGTAATTCGTAACTGAGCAAAACCGAATTTTTTCCATTTAACTTATTTGAATGATTTTTTTTAGAAAGCTGCTTGAAATCTCATCCTATTTCTAACCACAACCACCGGCATATTCGATCAGTATTGTATAAGTTACCTGCGAGGTAACTTTAATACAGTAGAATGAATAAAATATTGTGTATAATAAAAGTTGAAGGAATAGATTGGAAGCAACAGTATGAATAATTGATGCTTGTAGTATAAGGAGATAGAAGTTATGTGAAAATCGAATGAACAGGGCGAGAATTTGCTATGTATAATAATCTTTACTAATAACTGATTAGATTATCGTGCTGATAATACATGATTATCAATTAAACACATGCAAAAGATAGGATAAGCAAATAAAAAGTATATATTTTTATGAAGAGGTTTCGAAAGCATTGCTTCTCCTTAACTTGATATGGTTAGAGGCAACAACTCTATGTATTATTTTTAATGCACCATAACCGGTTCTTGGTCTGATTAGAAATCACTAATATCTGCTACTCATACCCTTCTCTACCCATACTCTACCCATACCCTCTCATATCTACCATTTTATCAATTTACCTTTCACTACCACCTCAAAATATTTCTCTCTACAAATAAGCAAGCGAAACGAGGAAATGCAAAGAAATATTTTCTTGATTTTTCTTATTATTCCACTTTATTTGCCTTGTTTATTTTTTTAAATTTTTATCTTATTTATCAAACTGCATAATATTATTATTGAAAGTTATTTAATCATCTACAATATTAATTACTAAATTATTTTATTTCAATGCTAATTTTACAATTCATTTTAATCGTATTAATTTCGAATGTTTAAAGTTTAAACGTATATGGTATGCTTCAACAAAAAATTGTCTCAGAAAGCATACGTACGTTGCACGACAATATTAGAACCACTAAAATAGGTAGATGTGTATGAAGTGCGAAAAAATCAGAGTTCACTGCGTATGAATCCTATTCATACTTCATCTGATCAACCATAGGTCATCAGAAAGTTGCAAGCATATGAATGAACTGAAGTAAATAGTATATGAATGGAATTTAAGCAATTAAAAAATTGAAGTAATTTGAGAACAATCATCATATCGGAAAAAAATGGGAATTAATCGACATCACCTATAAAAACAAAAGCAGTGCGATGTATAGTAAGCTGATTGACTGTCAAGTAAAAAAAAATCATTCAATATAAAATGAATTTTTAAAAAATGAAAAAAGTATAGAGTTTGAATTTTTTAATTGATTACATATTTTACTTGCTTGTATATGATTAATTCAAAAGTTTTCAGATAAAAGGTTTTTTTTTTTTA